CAATGCTAATCATTGAGCGCTGCAAGCGCCATGACCAACCGGAACGTCTCATACCTGACAACAGGAGAGAATATCTCGTCACAGTCAACACCTTCGACTTGACTGAAACCCTTGGCAACTAGGCGGGCACGTTTTCGGCCATCAGATTTTTGGTCAAAGACCCAGCGACATCTGATAACCTTCCGTCCTTTCGGGCGGTCCACAAGGGAATAGACCTTGCGCTGACGAAGTGCCTCTAACTCGTCGCGACAAGCATCAATCCAACCTTTCTGTTGTTCAGAAGGCAACCGCTTGATATCGCGGATTGTCCAATCGCGAATTTTGGACGTATCAGGTAGGTTCTCATTTGGCACTGCTTTTGACAGCAGCGCCGTGATGAGCTCTACTCCCCCTTCCCGGCATAGCTTCTCCATGCGTGCATCCTCGTCTAGATCATCAGAAGCACCCGCGTTTGAGGAATCTGGTTGCGAGCTAGGGCCGGGAACCCCTGCATCAGCACCGGTTGATGGTTGAGATTGGGAGCTACCCTTATCTTCACCAACATACCGCTTCCATCCCCTGCTGTTCTGAATGTCACGGACTATATCCGTAGGGGTACGCTTTTCCCCATAGACGTTTCCTGGACGTGTAGGCACATTCCACTGGCGTGAAGACCTTCGAGGCTCAGGAGCTGGTGAAGCTTCCCGACTTGGTCGTGGAATTCTACTTCTACGAGTCCTCTGAGGTTCATCCCAACACTCTGGCGGTGGGTCCTGACGATTATGACCGTCGTCACCATCATCATTTCCCTGTACGGGAGGTGGTGGAGCCGGATCAGATGGCATGGGAAATGGAAAAGGATTATCTCCATATAGCCAATCTTCTCCGTCTACCTGTGGTGGATCTTGTGGATTCACTGGGTCATCACGTTCTGAAAATTCCTCTCCAACAGGAACGTGGGGTGGTCGATTGCTGTCAGGACAGCGGGGGAACAACTCCTCGTCGAACAATGCCTTGGTGGCGACGAACGTGGAATTGTTTGTGCGCATGAACAAAAATCCTTTCACACCATCAGGAATGCCCAAGTAGGTCATCAGCTCCGATTTGGGCGATAACTTGTTGGCGCGCTTCTCATCAGGGATAAAGACATATGCAGCGCAACCAAAGACTCGGAGTTTGGAAACATCCGGTTTTTCCTTGTGAAGAGCTTCAAATGGAGTTTTCCATTTTAGACGCCTGATAGGTGTCATATTGTAGATCCGTGTCGCATGTTTAATAGCGAATTCCCAATAAGAATTAGGAAGACAGGCAGTGAAGCGCATGGCTTCTGCCTTATCCATGATCGTACGATTGAAGCGCTCGGCATGCCCATTCTGCTGGTGAGCATATGGAGCACCCTTCTCCACTAGAATTCCTTGTTCCGCGAGAAATTCTTCCATTCCCATCCCCATGAATTCTCCCCCATTGTCAATATGCCACTTTTTGATGGTGACATTGAACTGGTTCTTGACCATCGCAATGAAATTGCGCATAGCCTGCTTGGCATCGGATTTCTGCGCAAGGCATACTGTCCAGCCATAGGAGAGTGCTTCGTCGAAGAAGCTCATGAAGTAGCGGTACTTGTGATAAGACACCGTGGGAAATTGTTTGAGATCCGAGTGGATCAAATCAAACGGATTCTCCGCTCGTTTTTCGGAAGGCGGGAAGGCACGTTGGTGCATTTTCCCTTGCGCGCATCCTTTACACGGTCGGGTTTCCTCGGGAAATACTAGGTCTTCTGGAAAGCCCTTGGTATTCTTCTTTGCCTGACGTAAAACGTCTTTCGATGGATGTGCAAATCGCCGGTGCATGATCTCATAATCCACCTTGTAAACAGTGGACATGGATCGCACTGTCTCAGCCGTGCTAGGCTTTGACATCAGGAAGTACAAGGCAATGTCCTTCCCTAGAGTTCTAAACTCCATGATCGAGAGTGGGGACTTCCCTCGATGTAAGCTGATCCGTGATTCGTCTCCACGAACGCGAGATCCTCCTTTGAGTAAGGAGCCCAAAGACATGAGACGACCATGTAATCCTGGCACTAGGTACACTGGATATATCTGAGAAGTCACCATTGTCTTTTCTCCATGCCTTGTGACGTAATGATCGATGAAGGCTGTTCCTCGACCAATAAGGGCAACACGTGTGTTCTTATCAGCGGTCTGAGCAACAATAGGATCTGAGAGCTTCTCATATCCGACCAGATCACTAATCTCCGATGTCACATGGAGAGATGCACCTGAATCAAGAAGCCATAGAGGCCCTAATTCATGATGATGATGTTTCCCCTTACACTTAGAGCAGGCAGCAAAATCGGAGTGCACACAGAATAGATTGGTACAAAAATCATGCGAACGAATCATCAACGAATTAAGTACAGAACCCGGGGCGGCGGTGATCACGCGCTCTGGCTGTGAGCAACAATCAGAATTGTGCATATGCCTAAGATGGCAGGGTACTTGCCTTTCGGCGGAAGGAGCGTCCATCTCCTCCAGAAGGGTGTTGAAGTCGACGACCTCATCCCAATTGACGGGTTCAGCCTGGGCGAACTCGCTATCTCCAAACAGAAGATCAAGATCGTTCTGTTGGCCGGTGGCCATCTCAACGTCGGGGATCTCCTCGATACGACTGCGTTTGGCAGGAGGACCACCATCCAGCGTGTGATTCGAGCCGGAAGCAACCGGAGATGGAGAACGCATGATTGCGTCCTCGCGGAGCATTCCTTTCTCATTGACGATCTTGTCGAGAGTCCGGAACGTTCTGCGGTCACCGTCACATCCATCTTCTTGGCCAGCTCGAAGACCTTACGAGTAGGCTTCTGGAACTTGGTGTCAATAATCCCATTGTTGTTAACGGGAGACTTCTCTTGAACTGCGCGGATTTTGGGTCCATTGCGAGAGATGTGCGTGACATGCGAGATTGTCGGAGCAGGGATAGACGGAGTGAGCGAGGCGATCGAACCAATAGTGAGGGAGCCAGTGATCTCAGAGACTCCATGGACATGACTGTGATCAGCCTTGCCCTTGCCCTTGTTGTCCTTGTTCTTCCCACTGCGCTTGCCTCGACGGTTCTTCTTCTTTCCATCAGCTTTATCACCCTTATCGGGTGCAGAGCCAGAGCCCTGTTGCTGATTGGTGAACGAAGGGTCATCGCGCTTGCGCTTGGTATTGAACTTGGCCACATGATTCTGGCTTTGAGACTGCTTCTGAGCAAAATGCGTCAAGAGAGCGTCACGAACCGCCGAGACTTTGATCTCGTCCTTTTCATAGGTCTGGAGAACAGTCTCTGTGACGGAGGGAATCCGGGCTATGTTGAGAATGATCATCGCTCTGAGGAACTCAGGGATGCTCAAAGACTCATTCTCCAGGCGAGCGAACACCGTAGTGATCACCAGCAGCTGTGGATCCGGGTGCAACCCCACGTTGTACTTGGCGTTCAACGCGGTTTGGAAGTACGCATATAGGTCGGCGCACTGAGCACCACCGTATTGGGTCTTCAGATGCGCCCAGATCTTGGCGGCTGACACTATATCCGCAGGAGGAATGTTAGCAATGACTCCCTCAGTCAGGCGCAACTTAATGCTGCCTTTGGCTCTGAGATCATCATGCTTCCATTGCTTGATCTCCGATGCGTTGGTCACAGAGCCATCGGTAGCTTTGACTTCGGTCGGCGCCGTTTCGGTCAGCACATATGAGATCCCCTGATGTTCCAGGTAGGACTCCATAGTTCCGGACCATACGAGCCAGTGCTTTCCATCAAAGATGGAGACAGCATTGAAGATGTTGTTGGAGTTGGACGACATATTGATCTGTGTGAGTTAATCAGCATCAATCTAATCTGATAGATAAAATCAAAGATCAAGATGATCAGATTCTCATAGATCATAATCTCCTTGAGAGATCGATGCATCTGGATCAAGCGATGTAATCGCGATCCGGCATGGTTTCACCAGCGCTGTGCAGCAGCTGAAGTGAATACAGATAGGCTAAAGACGCTGCTCATCGTTGCAGCCAGTGACGGCGCATACAATGAATGTCGCGGCCATTGAGGCGCAGACATAGCTCTTGGGGCCCATAACCTGTTGAGCACTGGGGAGAGCGTCTAGCAACCCACCTGTGTGAGTTGAGAGCTTAGTGTGGGCACTATGCAGGAGTAGTCAAGAGACTTGTTATTAAAGGGTAATAGAGCCCTCCTTATATACAATACAGGGGGCTATTTGTGTCTATTTAGGACGAGTCGACATGACTCTAGATGACACGTGATGGAGTCATAAGATGTGTATCACGACATCCATCTGGCAGATGATAAGATCATCATTTGATCAACAGCTCGTTGCAGAGTAGATCACGCAACGCTTGGCAGTCCGTTATTAAAATGATCGGGGACCCGAATGTAAGTTTAGCGAAGTCGTCAAGAGCGAACTTGAGCGCAGCGAACTCGAGTAGGAATGGCTCGTATTTCGCTTCACTGCAGGAAGTCCGCTTGGAGCAGAATGCGATTGGATGCCAACTACGCTTCTTTTCCCCGCCTGGAAGCTCGTCCAGGAACTCCTGTTCAAGCATACCTCCAAATCCCATGGCTGACCCGTCCGTGGTGACTCGAAACGGGCGTCCGTTGTATTGAGGCGACCGGAGCACGGGCTCGCTGGTAATCATGACCTTGAGCCTGAAAAACGCGTCCTCACATCCTGCGGTCCACCTGTTCCCGAGCACAGCATCGCGCAGATAGCGCTTGTAGTTGTCCTTCCTCGGTGATCGGCCCGCTTTTGACAATCGTCTCACAGCTTCTGCCTCGGCTTCCTTCTGTGCGTCCCTTGTCAGGTCTGTGAGCGGTTGAGCTATTCGCGCGTAATCCCGAATGAGGTGACGGAAGAAGTTGGTGAGCCCAGTGAAGCGCATGACATCGTGGATTGTCCGAGGTCGTGGGAATTCAATGACTGCGGCCACTTTGTCCAGGTTCGGTTTGATGCCGTCGCGCGACAATCAGGCGCCAGCGAAGACAAACTCAGCCTGGAATATCTTCATCTTGGACGGAGCGATTGATAGCTTAGTGGCCCGGACTCGGTCCAGGAATCGGGTTAGGGCTGCTAGGTGTTCCTCGAAACTGTCGTGTGCTGTGCAGATGTCGTCCATCCAGTTCTCGAAATCCGCACCCAGGAGACCGTCAAGCGCGCTGACAACCATCTCGCAGAATGTTGTGGGTGTGCCGGTGAGCCCCATCGGCATTCGCAGATACACGTAATATCCCCGGCCCGGCACGTAGAAAGCCGTAAACGGCACCGAGTTGTCATCCATTGCGACGGCGTAGTATCCCGATGCGAGGTCAATGACGGAGCCCATTGCCTTTCCCGCCATCTTCTGCTGCTTCGCGTGGAGATCACCCGGGGCAAAGTTCGGGATCTTGGTTGCATCATTCAGTCGCTTATATGCATGCACTATCTGCCACTTGGTCTTTGGTGCCTCCCATTTGTTGGAGGAAACTGTCTCGAAGGTCTCGCCAAGCACGTCAACGAGGTTTGAGTTTGGTACTTCCTTGAACATTGGCGGCCTTCCTGCCCGACGAAGCTCGTCATTACACTTCTGTATGACCTGTGTCTTTGTCATGCCCGACTTTCCTGTGTCCTTTGGTACCAGCTTGGTCGGGGAAACACATTTCACGTAATCGGATTGCACCCGAGCAATGACGCCTCCCGCTTCCATCTGGTCCAGCATATCGTAGTACCAATCCTTCTGCGGCTCCGTCAACAGCGGCTGATGAACTTTGGTAGGCAGCGTCGCAGCTGGGTCGACATTGAGGCGGTGCGTGATGAAGCTGACGGGTAAGACTTCTCACACGTCTTCTGCGAAGCAGTCGCCGTATCCTCGCAGCGTGTTGATGACAATCTCGCGCTGCTCCGTGTTGATTGCATCTCCAATGTTGATCTTTGCCAGGATGCGCTCAATGCGCTCTGGACTGTTCGGATTCGTGATCCGCTCTGATCGAAGAACCCTCTCGAATGCGGTGCGGCGTCGTGTGCAGGCGGGCGTGGGTAGCTGTCGAGCTCCATCACATCGGACCGTGTGTCAGCAGCCGGCGGGGTCGTGCTGTTTGTGAAAACAGCGCTACTTTGGGACCCCGTCCAGGAAGGATGGTTAACGCGGTGATCCTCATCCGCGCAACCTGTGCAATCCTCGACAGGAACGTTCTTCATGTCAGCGGATGCACACAGGTCTTCGCTGGGGTGTGGAAGCACCCTTAATGCCTGTTCTCCGCTGTTCATGGTCAGTACTGTCTCGTTTTGCAGGTCAACCGCGCCGCTCATGGGCTTTGTGTCAATTGGGGCAAGCACTCTTCTGTCCTGCTGTGCCGGTGGTAGGCAGACCTCGCAACCTCCCTCTACTGGGATGCAAATCTCATCTGTCCCGTAGTCATGAATTGCCTTGACATCCCTCAACCACGGTCTCCCCAAGATCACCTCGACCACTCCTCCCAGATCCAAGACTTCGCAGTGAACATACATTTCCACACTCCCTGTTTCCACTCGACCTCTCCAAGCGCCCCTTGTTGCCAGCCTGTGCAGCCCTGCTCCTTGCATATCCATCCCTTCCATTAGCTCCCCCAGCTCCTCCTTCAAGCTGCCATAGAATCCTGCGTCGATTATATTCCGGCTCGCGCCTCCATCCACGAGAGCCGTTGACGATATATGTAGATTATTGTCCGTGATTAACAATACTTTTTGAAGCCGTGCATTTGTGGCGACCGTGAATGTGCCAGCCGATTTGACGATTGCCGAAACGTCCATGACCCGTAGCAGTTCATCCAAGTCAGATGGTGTATTCAAGTCAGCATGGGCTATCCGAGGTGTGGGTGTGAGACGCACGGAAGAGTTTGGTAGCGCAGCAGTCTCGATCTGCATCGAGACCGACCCTGGACCGGGTTCTCTTATCTGCGGAGCCCAAGGAGACACTGGGCATGGCTCCGTCTCACACGGGACCGGAGCATTTGAACGAGCTTGTACAGGTGGGGGGTAACAGTCCGATGCAGCCTCAATTGGTGTAGCTACTACATGCGAGCCGTTCTTCCGCCCCCATGAGATCTCGCCTTCGAGCGCTCTCCAGGGATGGGTAACGTGGGTTGAGTGTTCCCTGTCAACTGTCTCAACCCTCAATGAAAACCCTGGAATGCGTAATCGGGGCCCTCTTTGTCCTCAGGGTCCATGATGCGATAAACCGCAGCCGTGTCAATATCCCCGCAGTAGTTACCGAATGTGTCGTACATGAACAGGACCGGGTTATTGGAGAGATGTGGAGGTTGCTGTCGCTCGCGTAGCTGGAACGGCGATTGCAATGCTGCTCCCTGCACCGGTGTCTGCAGATTACCAAATGCCCGCGGCCGGGGAGTGCGTGGCGGGGCGATTGAGCGCAGATTGGCATATCGACACTGACGATAGAATGTCTCCTTTGGCGACAACACGCTTGCGTCCAGCGCGCTGCACTGCGTCGAGATGTGACTATGCTCGCCACATCGGTGACACTCTGATCCATCAGCAGGTTTGGTGCCCGGTGTTGAGCACTGGGGAGAGCGTCTAGCAACCCACCTGTGTGAGTTGAGAGCTTAGTGTGGGCACTATGCAGGAGTAGTCAAGAGACTTGTTATTAAAGGGTAATAGAGCCCTCCTTATATACAATACAGGGGGCTATTTGTGTCTATTTAGGACGAGTCGACATGACTCTAGATGACACGTGATGGAGTCATAAGATGTGTATCACGACATCCATCTGGCAGATGATAAGATCATCATTTGATCAACACCCGGTCGCAGCGGATATGGTCGGTCAAGCCGCGGCATTGTCCCTACTCCCCACTTGCACCTTGGACACCCCAAAATCCTACCTCGAGAGGTACCTTTTTGAGGCCCAAACAAGGTACCTCAGTGGTAGTGGGGGGCTGTGGGCTGGGCGGATGTGGGGGGCCGCATAGGCAGATGTGGGGGGCCCCATGGGCAGATGTGGGGGGCCCCATGGGTGGCTCTGGGGGGCTCTGGGGGGCTCTGGGGGGGCCCACCCCAGACCCTACCTGGCACGTTAGTGCCCAAAAAAGAAAATGCATTTTTTGACCCCAAAATTGCCTATTTTAGAAGATTCTGAGACACTTGGCCAGAACTAGAAATCAGGATAGGGTATTGCTTAAAAATAGAATGTAGCTCAATGCATCCAGCTATAACGAGCCAGTGTAGTAGTTTTAAATATGGCACTTTCTTTTCAGGCTAGGTTTACCCATTTTTGCACAAAACTTTGTTCTACATCATTTTCCAAGTGATGTCATCATGAGGACTGTTTTGGATGCTGCGCTCTAACGAGTGATCTGATTACCCATGTGTATAGGTGAAACTTGTTCAGTTTTGCGAGGGCTACAACTTTGATTTCCCATCATTTTCTTTGTCAGCATCAGTCACATGCTTCACTGCCATGTTGAATGGCACTACTTTTGATCTCCCATCAATTTTTGATGATACTGATGATGTAAATCTTAATCTCATCTTATCTGTCAGACCCATATTGATGGTATCTGCTTACTCAATTGTAGTTGCTGATAATCGAATTGAAGACTTATCTAATCTTGATGCGGCTGTGTGTGATTGGATCATTATTGCAGCACAGCTTCCATTTTGGGTTGCATGTTCAAGTTACATAATCAGAATTGAACATGTTGAACATGTGACTTCCTTTTTAGGACATTTTGATGCAACTTATAGCAACCCAAAAAGGAAATTCATCTCAATTTTGGACTAGCTCATGCTCATGGTGTGGGTTCTGCCTTAGGTTTTCAGGGTATATTCTACAATGTAATCACTTACATTTGTGCTCTTCAAAGCCACTGCATTGTAATACAATGCCTCCATATCCCAATTCTTTCAGTGATACCCTACCTAGCTTTCCATGACAACACATGCTCCTCTAGGCACATCCCTATCTCTCTCTAACATTCTATACCTCTCAAAAAATGTACTTCTGTCTTAGATCTTACAGTAGAGCCAGCCATTGTATATATAAATGCATAGTAACCATTTCCAACCCATCTTGCTTTGATACATAACCAGTGGTTTCTACACCCCCAATTCACATCAGTCATGCTTTCATTATTACAAAGAAGAGTCAGTGAGATTGATATGGACATAGAAACAAGAATACAGTGGAAGCAATGGTAACAGGTGGGAAATCAAAGTGCCCTTTGTAATGCAGGTATTCTTGCTCCTATAACTCGAAGCAAGGTTTCACTTTATTGTACCAACCATTTCGGAAATTTTCCGCACTTCATTGATCTAAAAATCAGGCTGTATCTGTTTCATTTAGGTGCATGTACTTTTACATTGTAAGTGGAATAGGGACTCTCTGGGTGAATTCCACGCCCCCCTGAACATTGCAATGAGCTTTTGGAGTCATATCCTCCCAGAATATGAAATAGATGGCAGAGGGAAACAAAAAAGTGCAATTTTTTTCGCACTTGCATTAGTGCTACATCTTGATCTTCTTGAGGTATATCAATTCAATATCATGGTGCTTTTTACTATTCCCCTGCCATCTATTTCATATTCTGGGAGGATATGACTCCAAAAGCTCATTGCAATGTTCAGGGGGGCGTGGAATTCACCCAGAGAGTCCCTATTCCACTTACAATGTAAAAGTACATGCACCTAAATGAAACAGATACAGCCTGATTTTTAGATCAATGAAGTGCGGAAAATTTCCGAAATGGTTGGTACAATAAAGTGAAACCTTGCTTCGAGTTATAGGAGCAAGAATACCTGCATTACAAAGGGCACTTTGATTTCCCACCTGTTACCATTGCTTCCACTGTATTCTTGTTTCTATGTCCATATCAATCTCACTGACTCTTCTTTGTAATAATGAAAGCATGACTGATGTGAATTGGGGGTGTAGAAACCACTGGTTATGTATCAAAGCAAGATGGGTTGGAAATGGTTACTATGCATTTATATATACAATGGCTGGCTCTACTGTAAGATCTAAGACAGAAGTACATTTTTTGAGAGGTATAGAATGTTAGAGAGAGATAGGGATGTGCCTAGAGGAGCATGTGTTGTCATGGAAAGCTAGGTAGGGTATCACTGAAAGAATTGGGATATGGAGGCATTGTATTACAATGCAGTGGCTTTGAAGAGCACAAATGTAAGTGATTACATTGTAGAATATACCCTGAAAACCTAAGGCAGAACCCACACCATGAGCATGAGCTAGTCCAAAATTGAGATGAATTTCCTTTTTGGGTTGCTATAAGTTGCATCAAAATGTCCTAAAAAGGAAGTCACATGTTCAACATGTTCAATTCTGATTATGTAACTTGAACATGCAACCCAAAATGGAAGCTGTGCTGCAATAATGATCCAATCACACACAGCCGCATCAAGATTAGATAAGTCTTCAATTCGATTATCAGCAACTACAATTGAGTAAGCAGATACCATCAATATGGGTCTGACAGATAAGATGAGATTAAGATTTACATCATCAGTATCATCAAAAATTGATGGGAGATCAAAAGTAGTGCCATTCAACATGGCAGTGAAGCATGTGACTGATGCTGACAAAGAAAATGATGGGAAATCAAAGTTGTAGCCCTCGCAAAACTGAACAAGTTTCACCTATACACATGGGTAATCAGATCACTCGTTAGAGCGCAGCATCCAAAACAGTCCTCATGATGACATCACTTGGAAAATGATGTAGAACAAAGTTTTGTGCAAAAATGGGTAAACCTAGCCTGAAAAGAAAGTGCCATATTTAAAACTACTACACTGGCTCGTTATAGCTGGATGCATTGAGCTACATTCTATTTTTAAGCAATACCCTATCCTGATTTCTAGTTCTGGCCAAGTGTCTCAGAATCTTCTAAAATAGGCAATTTTGGGGTCAAAAAATGCATTTTCTTTTTTGGGCACTAACGTGCCAGGTAGGGTCTGGGGTGGGCCCCCCCCCAGAGCCCCCCAGAGCCCCCCAGAGCCACCCATGGGGCCCCCCACATCTGCCTATGCGGCCCCCCACATCCGCCCAGCCCACAGCCCCCCACTACCACTGAGGTACCTTGTTTGGGCCCCAAAAAGGTACCTCTCGAGGTAGGATTTTGGGGTGTCCAAGGTGCCACTTGTCGTCCCAATCACTCTTTGACTTGTCATACTCCCGCCATCCCTCCGGTGTGTCTGCAAAGGTGAGCTTGATGTCCTTGGTATTGTGTGGAGCAACTTCGCCAGCAGGGTCAAAAGGTGCAGCATGGGTCTGGGTTCGTCCAGGTGGGGGGAACGATCCCAGTGGCTGGCGGAGGCGGCTAGTATAGAGTTGGCGCGTAGCGAATGTGTTCGTAGGTGTAGCAAATGGTGAGGGTGTTGGTGCTGGCGTGGCTTGCACTGTCGTCTTCGTTGCCGCAGTGCGAGTAATTTCCATGGCTGCAATACGATCCTCGAGCGTCTTCCGTGCGTGCTCCTGCTCTATGACCTGGGCAATCCTTGTCGGTGTTAAAGCGTTTGCTTCCTTGATCAGGTCCGCCCACGTCTTGATGCCCCGTGACCAAGTGTCGCCCAATGCAGCGACGAGACGTGGTGGCATTGCCTTGAGTGCAGCTGGGACAAGCATTGCAGCTGTCGTCTCCTTCCCATCTGGTGTGGCCGCAATCGCTTTCTTGCGCATGTCCTCCAACAGAAACACATGCTTTGCGCACTCGCGCCCGAGGGAATCGACATGTCTCCTGCCCACATCTTCGTCGCTGATGACGACTGCTTCGAATTCGGCAAGGCGTTCCGCTTGCGTCTTGGCTTGGACGTTTGGCTCCGGCCAGTGTGCATCGAATGCATCCGCAACCACCGTGATGTCCGACTTGTCAACTGCAGCTGGCAAATTTGTCCACCACGCTTTTGCATCACCATGCAAGAGAATTGCCCAAATGCGGATGATCTTCCCTGCCGCATTGGGAAAGTCCTCATAGATGACGCCCGCGCGACGTAGCTCTGCAGAGAATTGGAACGCCACGTCGGCGTCTCGGGTGTCACCAAAGAAAGGTGGCAATGGGAAGACTAGATTTGAGAGGTCGAGGGCGGCTGGCTGCGCTGCCATTGTTGTTATGAATGAGCAGGTGTCGGAGTGAGAAGAGATCGGTGTAAATGGGGAATCCGGTGAAATGCTGAGGGCGTACTCACAAGTGAATCTACTATGAAAGTAAACCCAAATATAAACACGTTCACACTCCTCGTAATCAGCTTCTCAGTGTGTGAAAGATGCGAGGGCTTCGGGGTGGACAGAGCACCAGTATCACAACTCTCAATAGACACAGATCCAATAGTCGCGGAGACGGAGTCGACGACAGGGATATATATATAGCAAACAATGGTATCTCAACCAATATCTTCTATACGAGCACAACCAACACTAATACAATCCACAACCAACAATATAACAAGTCAGAGCTTAATACGAAGTATTAAGATCCCTTGTAGCGACAGCGTCTAGATGGCGACGCAAAGCCCAAATATCAAGTCGACGCACTGCCAACCGATACAACCAATATACTGAGTCGACGCACTGCCAACTAGTAGAACCAAAATGTCAAGTCGACGCACTGCCAACTGACACAACCAAAAGTACTGAGTCGACGCACTGCCAACTAGTAAACCAAAATGCCGTGTTGACGCACTGCCAACTAACAGCCAATATCCAATGTCCAAAACCCGAGCACAACTTGTCGACGCACTGCCAAGCAAGAGGTGTGGAACCAAAGTTCTCAAGTCGACGCACTGCCAACTGACCAAAACAACCCGAGCACAACTAGTCGACGCACTGCCAAGCTAGAGGTGTGGAACGATCTCAACAAAGCCCGAAGGCGACGACACTAAATGCCGCGACTAAACCAGATGCGGCGAATCCGACTTTCTGATGTCTCAACTCAAACTCAAATCACAGTAGCTACAAGTGCTCAGGGAGCAACTCGTCGCGACCGGGCAGGGGTAGCGGAACTTCTTAGGGTGGAATCACGCGGCACGCAAATTGTACAAAACAATCTGAAATGAGAGTGATTCACAGTCCGGGGAAAAGCTTCCTAATACAAAGAGACGACGTGCTACTTATACTGTCTACGACGCTGCTTAGTAAAGTCCTGTACAACTGTATAGTAGCTACGCTATCTAAGATCGGTTGCCTTTTTAGGGTAATTGAAAGTTGAACGATCGGACAGGTCCTGAGTGATCAGGACCCCGCCCCATTGTCCATATGATACTTTTGATGTGGGCCAACTCACCGCGTCATACTTTTGGAATACGACGTGCTGGATTGGCCAACGGGTATGTCTTGGCATGTGAGACCAACGTGGGCGCCCCAAGAAGCCGTATGGCTCTAGGCACGCCAATCGTCTCCCGCATGGCTCGGTTCACGGATCTAGCCGTATCGATTTTAGTGTGTTTGAGTATGGGCGCGACTCGCCGTGACACTTGGAAGTGTCACCGCGACGCGTCCACAATGTCCCGTGATCGAATGGATCCTGACATGTGACAAGTCGTCGTCGTGGCATGATCTGAGGAAACGTCCAACCCAAAACCGGGAGTTGCCGCGACAAGATGGTTTAAGTCTTGTAACGCCAAGTCCTGTCCAGTAGTAGTTCTATTATTGAGAACGTCGTGCATTGTTCAGCCCTTCAGCCCAAGTTCCCATCTGCAGAGAATGACCCTTTTTGAGAAGTCGACGCAACGACATATCCCTTTTTGGGGAATGGTCGCGGTCCAAGCGTTCGTCACTAATGGCCCTGAGCCTGGTGTAGACTCATAAGACCAGTTCCACAGTAGTGGTCTGACTGCCTTGCTATCGTCGACACTATCCACAGTCGTCGACTGGGCAGTAGACCCATAAGTCCTACTGAGCGCAACACTGTTAACCGCGACACGATACACCGAGTGGTTCAAGAGTAAACTCTGTAAAAAGCGCAAAAATACGCCCTTACAGAGCTGGTGCAGAGCGCGTCTGGTAGCCAGCCTATCATCTCCCAGGAACACTAATTTTGACCTCCTGGTCAATCCCGCGACAGTCTCACTGCGTCAGGTCTAAGTCCAACAGTCGTCGTCTCGTTTATTTATTATTAAAGCCGCGGAGACATAGAGTTATGTTCCCACGTCTTATTCATTTGGTTGTTCGGTTCCTTCCGTGATCTGCCGCGATCAAACTTCTTCCGGCATGTTCACCATATAAATGCCCTCAATTTTCAGGGTCGAGAGTCTCCCTAGTACGAGACACTCTTGCCTTTTGACCACCATGTCCGCGCCCGACCAGAGCCCCCGCCCCCAAGACACCAACCGTGAGTGACGCCCAAGACGGCTACCGCGACTTTTCAACCACGCTAACCATCCATCAGCCGTCACCGAATCAGCTGTCTCGGGAGCAAACCTGCCTGCCATCGACTGGCGGCAGTTCATGCCGTCCGTCAAGGTCTCTCCCATGGCTTGTCGACTCAACTCACCACCTGCCTAGCCCCGAGGCCTACAACCAGATGTTGCGGCAGATGGCCGTCGACGTCCGCCAGATCCAACAGGTGAGCTCCGTCTTAAGCCCGCTGGAGCGAATAGTCACGGCGATCAATGATTGCCGCGTCTGTTCGCTTTGGCCTTCCATTCTTTTCACTAACGTAAGGGCTAGCCGGCGCCTGCGCCCTTGACCACCAACGCTCCAGTCGAGGAGTCGTCGCCGCCCAAGAAACGCAAGCGAGTCGTTGAGCCCGTACGTGTAATCTGTTTCATTTGTTTACTATGTTCTGATCGACCCCCAGGCGGCTCCAACCGAACAAGTCGCCGCCCCTTCGTCGTCCCGGCCTGCCAAGCAGAAGGGGAAGGGTGACGGCTCCAAGCCGCAGGCCCCTGCCGCCGTCGCGGGCAGCAAGGTCGCCGTCGCCAAGAAGTCGAGCGAGAAGCCGCAGGGGAAGCGGCCCAAGGCGACTCCTGCAAAGGAGCCCAAGGCATCGTCGCATGCGCCTACTCGTAAGTGGCCTTTTCATTCGGTTCACCGAAGTCGCGGGCACTGATCTATTGTAGCCGCTACTCCGGTCCCTGTTTCACAGGAGGCACCCCCCAAGCGCGTCCCCAAGAAAACGCACGCAGGTGTGTGCACCCTATGTCTTATTTCTTTGATCCTGAGACTAACCACTTGGTCCCTCCCAGCCCGGATCCAAGCACAGCCCGTGCAACCCGAGTCCCTCAGCGATGAGGAAGCCGCCGCCGTCGCCGACACTGCGATGGATGTCGACGACGAGGGGGTCCAGGAGGGAGACGCGTCATCGGCCGACGAGCTGGCCCTGCAGGTAAGTGACCCAGTTCGTCGATCGCGATTCTTCGTCTCATGGTTGGTTTGTTTTTGACAGGGGCCCAAGTCCAAGGGGAAAGCGCGATCGAATTTGAGTGCGTTCTTCCTCTTGCCCCCTCTGTCGATTACTCACACTTTTGTAGCCCCGTCCGTCATCGTCATGGACGACACTTCCGAAAGTGGGGGGGAGACCGGTGACTTCGTTGTGGCCAAGAAGCAGGTCAGCGAGACCCGCGTCAAGCCCAAGGTAAGCCGGCTCCTTTTTTTTTTCAGACCACGCCCCTTAATCCAGCTTCTTAGCCAATCAAGAAGGTCGCGGATGGATCATCCAAGTCGACCAAGTCCGTGCCTCCCCATCCGGTGCCGAAGGTGGAGGCCAGTCGCAAGGCGAGCACCCCGCGAGCGACGACTACCCCGACCCCAGTGGCTAAGGTGAGACACAGACCTTGGTTCCCAGACGTCGACTAACTCGTTTTTCTTTCTTTTCTAGGTTGCCCAGGCGGCCCCCGCCGTTACCAAGACTCCACGCAGTGAGTTGGGCAGGGTGGCCGCGACCCTTGGTCGCGAGCGGAGTGTTGCGGCGGCCAAGGCCGAGCTCAAGGCTCAGAAGGCAGAAAAGTCCGTTGCGGCGGCCAAGAAGAAATCTGACTCGGTGAGTCGCGACTTTTTCTTGTCGTCGACTTTTTACTGACTTGACTGTTTCTAGACTCCTGCGAAGGCGTCGGCCCCCACGCCCCGAGCTCCGTTCACTCCCGCCGCCTACGACACCGAGGCGCTCCTTTCGGTGGCACGCCAAGGTTTCGCGGGGAAGTTGGAAAGGGCCGGCGTCGAGGTGCCAACTGACTTCGTGCGTTCCTCTATCTTTTTCTGCCATGCCTCGACGACTGACTTCCTTTTTCATAGGAGGTCGCGCCAAGGCCCTGCGCGATGTGCGTGACGCGGCAGCGCGTCTGCTTCAAGAGCGTCGGCGGGCGCCACGGCAATCGGTGCGCCCCGTGCGTGCTCTATAAACAGACTTGCACCAACGGCTACAAGCCCGCGGAGCAGCTGTATATGGGGCAACGCTTCGGGTACATCGCGCAGATGAGCGCGGACGGTAAGAGTCCACTCTTATCATTCATTTCTATTTTTGATCGTTTCTGACGACGTCTTCAGATCTCAACAAGTCCGCCAACCGTCTCGCCGACACCTTGGACGCGTACGGCGGGCTTCTTCGCACGGCCAACGAGATCCGCGTCCTGGCCATTGGCCAGTTCCGTGATTTCGTTGGTCAGCTGAAGGAGCACTTCGACGACGGCTCGGACGAACGCATCAAGGCGATGTTCGTCCACACCGCGACCGAGATCGACGCCGCCGAGATGGCCGACATCCGTAAGGGTGTTCGGATGATCTTGACCCACGGGGACTTGTTGGATGGCGAGGCGAACGAGCGGTTCGCGGCGCCTCCCGCCTTCTTCGATCCATTTTTCTATCGCGAGATGGAAAAGATGGAGAAGCAGTTCCAGAGGGAGATCGAGAAGGCCCAGGAATTCGACCAGTCGGACCCCGCGACCGTCCAGGATCAAGCGTTCCAACCTGGCGAGGACCACGAGATCGACGTCGCGCACTTGGCGAGTAGTCGCACCCGCGCGCCCTCTTCGTCGCCCCAGCCTTCGCCATCGCCGCCTCCCGTTGCGTCGTCGTCCCAAGCCGTTTTACAGGTTTTGGACTTTTCCGACAACTACAGCGAGACCTCGGCCGAGTCCACCAAGGCCGAGTCGGATGAAGACGCGGAGGGT